TTTCCTAATCACTTAGACTTTTTAGGGTTTTCAAACGTTCTTCTTAATCTTCGCGCGTTCTTTACTTCACACATTATGCCTTTATTATTATTGTATCTTCCCATGGATTGTAATAGAATAATTAGGTTTCTTTTTTACTTTTTGTTTCCCCATTTTTAGATTTATAAATTCCCCCTCCCCGAGGCCCTGTAATAGTTAGGTTTAATTTCCGCATTTTAAATTCTTGCACTAATACTTGAACTGTTTAGATGTATGGTAATAGGGTTGCATGGAAAGAAATTAAAAAAAAAACAAAATGTTAGCAAACCTAACACCAAGATAAATAACTGAAACACAACACACTTGCACATGCACACCTTTAGGGTATTCCCACTTCGGTTGCATTCAGATTAAAACAATCACAACTCTCGAAACGTGATAGATTTTAGTGGCTACCCTCCGGTTTAAAGATCTAAAAAATGACCCTCTCGATGTTGCCTCTGTATGATCTTAAAACCCTAGGGGGTTACTAAAATATCTTGCCCAGTTTCCTTTGTGACTACACAATGAGCCTCGATCGTCCCTCAAACATTCAACGATAGGGCTACCTACTCACTAATAGTAGGATAGCACTGTCTAAAGGAAAAGAGGAAAAGAACAAACCTTTTCGAGTAAGTAGATAGTTCTTAGATGCTTGCTCAAGTAAAACAATTTTCGACACATACACTCCTTTCTAAAAATATTTTCAAAGATATTTTGTATACGTTCTCCACACACGAGAAACATTACAAAGTTTGTCGTACTAAGGCGTCTTTTCAAAATACTTTTTTTTCCAAACACACAAGCACAAGGTATTTTTAAATGGGCTAGCATCTAAGAGCCCGTAGATAACTACGGATGAAAAGGGTGCTAACACCTTCCCTTTCCATAATCTACTCCCCTTACTCAAATAATCTTGAAAGGTCTTTTTCTGTTCTTTTCACCCTTTCCTTTGTTGGATAAAAGAAAAGTCAGTGGCGACTCTTGCTTACCGCAACATTTGCGAATATAAATGCAAAACCAGTATAACAGTCGGTTCTGCCACCGTATTATAGAACTAGCGACTCTACTGGGGATATATAAAAAGTGGGGTTACCTTAGAGTTAGATCATTTTAAAATTGCTTTCCTTGTGTGTGTTTGTATGCTTTTTTTAGGGTTTGTTGGGGTTACTGTTAAAGATCCTATACCCAGATCTGGGGCACTTTTAGATAAGTAGAAATAGATCGTGGAGATTGTACGGTGTAGACCGATATGGTTGAAGCAATGGCTGCGTTAGTGTGACACGTTTGTTGGTATTGATATCCCTTGTGTTAAATCGAGGAGAATACGGGGCCGCTGTGAGGTGTCATAAAGCACTAACTGACCTTAGAACCTTAGTTGAACAAACTTGGACATTAGAAAAGTAGTGAGATAGTCAACTTCAGTATAAAGTTGAGGATTGGTTTATACTCGATACTATGCTTATTGAGATCAGACTTTCAGGATATTTCAGCCGCGAGAAAAAATCGCTTGAGCTAAGACAATGCCTGATAAAGAAAGATCAGTGACATTAAGACTCCTTAGAACCCAGTTACTTTTCTAGGACAGGTTGAACCAACTAAACTTAAATAGGGTACTTACCTATAAACCCTATGCAATCCTAAACCTAAGTTCTTGTGTGTTTTTGCTTGTGTATGATTAATTTGTTCAAACATAACATCATGCATCATAACATCCATTTTCATTTCACTAACCATTTCAAGGACCAAGGGAATTTACCTTTATTTTGTTGTTCAGATCATGGCTTTCGTTCATAGAAACACCATCCAAATCAACTTTTTGAAAATACCTATCCAACTCAAAGAGCTAGCATCAAGGGTTCCCGAGACTTCCTCGTTCACCAAGAAATATGGTCGACTTCTCAACCTAGTTACCTCAAGCTTTGATGAAAAGATAATGGGTGTACTTTTCAGTTCTTTGACCCCAAACACCATTGCTTCACATTTCCCGATTATCAGTTGGTACCCACCATGGAAGAGTTCTCTAAATTATTGGGTGTATCTATTCTTGATCAGATGCCTTTCATCAGTTTAGAGGAAGCTCCAAAGCCAAAGGTCATTACAGCATCCTTGCATCTGAAACGGTCCGACATTATATCCAACTGGGAAACAAGAAGCGGAGTCAAGGGTTTCCTAATCAAGTTCCTATTAGAAAAGGCTCAGTTGTTTTGGGATGATTTGAATTTCCAAGCTTTCGAGGAAATCTTGTCTCTTCTAATCTATGTGTTAGTATTATTCCCTAATCCAGACTTATCATAGATGTGAATGTTGTTGAAACAACCGGCTGAAAATCATCAAATAATGAAGTCGATATTGAACGTCTTTTATCCCATATGAAGGGAAAGGTAAACATCGAGAAAACCTAAGAAGGGAGAAGTCACGGTTTTGCGACCGAGAGATCGAGTAAGGGAGTCTGTTACGCGAGGGGTAGGTATTATCACCCCACACGCCCGTAGTACTCTATGGTATCCACTCTTATTGTCTATCTTATGGGTGTGTTTGAACTATGCCTACTGTTTACTACTTGAAATAATTGGCTAAACAATCAACTGATAATGAAATCAATGAAGTCTCCATCGAACATTTTTTATCCCACAAGAGGGGAAAGGTAAACATCGAGTAAACCTGAGAAGGGTGAAATCAAGGTCAAACTACCAAGAGATAAGGGTAAGGGAGTTTGTTACGTGAGGGGAAGGTATTGTCACCCCACACGCCCGTAGTACTCTACGGTATCCACTCTTATTGTTCTAATCAAAGGGTGTGTAAGAATTTTATCTAAACTGTACAGGGAATGCATGTAAAATAAAAGAGAAAATATTGTAGGGAAAATATAAGTTGTGCTCGCTCGGGCTCTACCATAATGCCTATGTATCCCTTTTAAGGAATCAGAGCAGTCGTAGTTCGGCTAACAAGTTTTTGTTGGTTTGTATTTTTTAATGAACAATATTAATTTTGCCTTCTGCTGCAACTCGACCTTTGGAGATTTACGCGTCAGCACAGAAGTGAATTAACATGTTCTTTCTGGAAAGTTTGAAAGAAAAGCCCGAAGGCGCAAAAACGTTTATATTGGTTGATATTTTTTACCTTAAAAAAGGACTTGAAAATTGTTAGATGTTTTATACATTTTCTAAGAAAATAGTTTTAGTTTTAAATGCAAGGATGCAAAGGAAAGAAAACATCTAAGAGAGACTAACCTAAATCTATCCCTAATGTTATCATACAATGATTGATCATATAGTTGAGTTTTGAAGGGAAATCTCTACCCTATGTTGACATGCTTGGATAACAATCCTAATGTCTATCTCAACTCGTCATCTATAGATGAACCAAGAAGTCCTAATGGAGAACAGCCAAGGTCTATCACCTAAAACTATGTCTATCTCGAATCATCATCTATAGTTGAATTGAGAGCTCCTAAGGGAACATGCCGAGGGTATATCATCTCAAAGCAAGCACGCAAAGATGAAATCAAACAAGCAAGCAATTAATCTCAAGAGAGCTATCTCAAGAGAGCACAACTAGAGAGATCCTATCTAGGCTAGCATACCAAATAAAGTCTAACAAAACTATCCTATGGGGAACATGCAATGAGAGCGAAGTCGTGATCTCAATTTCTAAATTGAGTGACTCATCGATCAACAAGAAATAAAGGAAAGCAATGAAATCCTATAGGGAGCATGCACTGAGAGCAAAGTCGTGATCTCAATTTCTAAATTGAGCGACTCATCGATCAACAACCAAGGAAACAAACACAAGCACAACGCATATAGTAAATGAAGTGCAGAATGCCTGCTACAGGTCTTTTAACAGCGACTTCGAGCGCACGCTCTTTATTTCCTACTTCTCATTATATCTAGAAAGCAGTAAAGTACTGAAATGAGATAAACAAGGGAAAATACCAAACAAATATCAATTTGTAGAAAAGCCTATCTAAACAAAGAAACCTGACGATCTTCGCAACAGCTTCACCAATCAAAGAAAAGATTCAGAGATCTAATGCTCTAAATAAACGTCGAAACATCATCAATGTGAAAATAAATCACAAGAGGATGGTGCGCCAAGCATATCCAAATATCACACAATAAACTTGTATAAGACTCAAATCTTGACAAGCAACAGCGAGTCACGAAACCTCAAGTAAGAAAATGATTACTAAACATAAACAGTAATAGAAAATTCTAAGCAAAATTCTAAAAAATAAATCCTAGAAAAATATTATTATATTCCCTAAAAAAAACAATTAACAATTTTTATTGTTTTCGTTATATTTGTTAACTAAATTTCAAGAAAATAAAATTATTAGAAAAAATCTATAAAAAATTCAAGTATACAATAGAGGGGCGAGGAATCAGAGTCAGGTGGTGTATTGTAGAAGTAAACGGGTGCTGAGCCCAAGCAGTGATCCAGTGGGTCTGTTTTTGTGTGTAGGGTAATCCATTTGTACAAAAAAGTCCATGGGCGTGTTGCAAACATGATTCAATCTAAGGCACATTCAATCATCCATCCAAAGAAGACAACCATGCTAATTGTTCCATACTTATCAACACTTGAAAAATAAATAACAATAATATACAAAGGGAAAGATGGTAAAACGGTGTGTTTTTATTGAGAGTATAGGGTTTAAACATTGTGGCCTCTCATCTTCTGCGTAACTCCATCTTCACTCTCGTGAACGGCACGGCTGGATTCTCCTCACCCTTCTTCAATGGCGCGTTCAACTATCTACCACCGTCTCAAATTCCATTGACGATTTCGTTCCCAACACAGCTCTACCACCGTGATTCATACCTCCTTTTACTCGCTCGGAGGCGCCGAACCCTCTTCGTCTCATCGGCCGATCAATTCCGACGTTACCTCTCCGTAGACGAAGGTGTCTCACCCCTAATTCCTTGAATCTTTCTTCACTTAAACGCTAGGGAAATGGATAAGCTACGACTGGAGTCTCAATCGGAAATCCTAGGTGAAGGATTACACAACTCTAATGGTGGTATCAATAGGTTGAATAAGAAATGTATGCTAACAACGGAACATCGATTGGAAAGTTCAGAGGGTTTACCGACCAGAGTCCGTCCGATGCGGCTTCGATGGTGATGTCGATGATGAAAACTAGGGAGAACTCCCAAGCTTAGGTATGCTTCTTCTTTATCTTTCACACTTCCTCTTCAGGTTTTGTACATTTCTTATGCGTGTGTGATTCGGTCATGAATTCACGGTTTCGATGTTGCTATGCGTGAAGATTTATGATGATGAAGGTGTTGGTGCTGTTGCAGATCCATTAAAGACGGTGATCTGTGAAGATGGAGTAACAAGAAAATTGTATAGATTATGAAGATTTGAAGATTAAAGGTTCTTCAGAGAGAAGTTGCAGAATTGTGATTGAGAGAGAAGGTTAAAGAACCCTGAAGGTAATGAAGAATGAAGGTTCAGAGGGGTTTTTCTGATTTTTTCTGCAAAATATTGAAGATTGATGATGATACGAGAAGATGGTGAAAAAAAGGTTGAATAAGGTGATGAAGAAAGATGAGAGTGAATGCATGGAGAGGAAGAAGAGAGAATTTAAGAGAATTTTTCTGGTATTTTGATTCTTCGGCGGAATCAATGAAGAAGACCCGCCAATGAAAGAGGTAAGTTACTGTTTTATTCTATTATCAGTTTGTTAGGAAACAGTTACATCTCCTTGAATCTGGGCCTTTGATCATAGAATCAGTTATAGAGAATATATGGTGAGGATTGAGTTTGTGAAACTTGCTTGAGAAGCTTTGGGTAAACTGCTGAGCTGGAATTTTGGTTTAATTCTTCTTTTTCTGTTTTAGCCATTTCACGGTCTCTTCCATTCCTGATTCAAAATTTTCTCTGGTTTTTTTTTTCCTATTTTTTTATTAGTTTGACAGTTAACTGTCAGTTCTGACCTACTTCTATTTTTTCCATTATTCTCTGATCCTTTATTTTCTTCTATCACCTTTTCTGATTTAAAACCGATGCACAGTATTGAAATGAGTTATGATTGTACTGTTAATTCTGATTTTCCGTATTGAGTACTTTACTTTTCACTCATCTTCTAATCTCTGTTTTGATCAAACCCCACACTGTTTTAAAACTGCAAGCAGGTAGTCCACCGAAGAATAATGCAGAGCGATTTACTGTGTAGTTTTTTACTCTAGATTTCTGATGAACTCTTGGTTTGTTTTGGATAATATGCAGGCCATTACTTGAAGAATGCAGTAGGTTGGTTCCTATAGGGCATAAAGGGGAGAATGGTTTAGAAGATTCGGATATTTTGGTGTAATTCATGATGAACCATCTTTGTGCAAGCTGGGATTGGCCCTCAAAAGAAGCGTGAACTTGAAGCCTACTAGCAAGGCATGGCTGAAATGTAAGATTGCAAGGCATTGGGCATGAAGCTTAGTCAAACGCTGGGACATGGAGAATGATTGAAATTAGGAAAAATTTGTTATGTTTAAGTTTTCTTGTAGCTTTGAATGAATTTGAATATATCTTGTAATGGAACTATGTAATGGACACATATGGAATTTGTACAGGTTTTGAATGTAATTTGAACAAAAATGGTGTATGATATTTGACCTTGAAAGGACTTGGTAAATTTGTAAATGAACGAACTTGTTGGAATTCTTGTTGAATATGGAATGAAGAGGTTTTGAAATGGTTAATGGAACTTTGAATTGAAATTGGATGAAGAACTTTGGTGGACATTTTGAATAGAATCAATTGGAACTTGAATCTTCCACTTGAAATTGAAAGTGATCTCATGCCTTGAATAACGTTTGAAATGTTGTATTATTTCTCCTTGGTAGCTTGAATTTCAAGAGATCAACCATCGATGGATCTTTCAATTTACATGATTGATTAATGCATCTCAAACTCAATTGAAACCATAAGTCCAAGTTACCTTGTGAAGAAATCCACATGAACTTTCTTCTAATACTAGCATGAATCAACTCTTGACAAACATGTGCTTGAGAACCTTAATTAATCTTGAGATCATGCCTTATAACCTTTGCGTTTATTTGTACCTTGCATTTCAGGAAATACTTATGACACTTGCACCTTAAGAAACTTGAATGGATACTTCCCTAATCAAATCCTCAATTCCTCATGAAACTTTAACTTGCATTACAAGTAATAACAAATCGAGAGAACAATAATCCCTCGAGGAATCCTTTGAAGATGAATATGGAACTTGAGACGTGGGAGGAATAACTACCAATATAGCCTTAACATGTAAATCCAATGAACCCCAGTTGATGAGTTAATACGCTTAATTACCACGCATAAGAACTACAATTTTCCTGAGATGCGCTGTGATGAAAATGGCTTTATCTCTTACCTTAAGGAAGATATCCTTGTAGCTTGATAAGGAAGAGATCCACAATGACCATGAATCAAAACCCTAAATTCACAATTCAATGTGCAAAGAAGAACCAGCATAATCAATCTTGTTTGATAAACACCTCGAACCAAAAGAAAACCATAGCTTCACAACCAATGATCCTTTGAACCATGACTCAACAAAACCTGAATTGGTTAACTAAAGAGTGGATGAATGTCATGCCACAGTCATTAACCATGATCAAATGATAAACACACTCATATGAGAAGACGTATTGATTCAAAGAGTATGTATGCTAGGTCACACCCCTGAATTCTTGACAAGAAAAATCCTGCAGCTTAATGTTCAAACGAAAAGAATAGCCTTGTTGCTTGATGGAGAAGAAGTCCAAAAATGAGCATGAACCAAAACCCTAATTCTACAGTCTTGTACACCAAGAAGAAACAAAATAATTAATCTTATTCAATCATATACACCTCAAATTAGTCATAAACCCTAGCTTCATAGAGGCTAATCTTTTGAACCTCAGATGCTCTTTTGAATGTAATGCATGCTACGTTAGTGACCTAATGGAATATATGAAGCTGAATGCAAAAGTCTAGGTCAAATGAAAGAAATTAGGAGGGAAAATTTTGGGGTGCAACACTACTGCTAAAGGGAGAATGCATGCAAAATAAAGGAGAAAAGAATGTAGAGAAAATAAAGTTCTACTCGCTTAGGCCCTACCCCAATGCTTACGTATCCTTTTTGAGGAATCAGAACTACCGTAGTTTGGCTCACATGTTTTTGTTTGTTTTTTGTTTTTTTACGGGTAATGTCAATTCCCTTCTGCCGCAGCTCGACCTTTGGAGACTTATGCATTGGCACAGAAGTAAATTAATCATGTCCTTACCTAAAAAGGGTTTTGGAGAGAAGGTGCTTGGGCTCATAAAAAGGTTTGATTTGGTTTGTATTTTGTTACCTTGAAAAAGGGTTTAAGTGTTATTAGCATGTTTTTGATTTGCTAAGGAAAAGAGTTTTAGTTTTAAATGCATATGCAAAAGGGGAAGAAAAGATTCTAAGGGATACTAGCCTATTTTTAAACCTAATGTTATTATACAATGGTTATCCTAAGGTTTGGATTAACAAAAGGGAAACGTCTACCTAATGTTAGGATGCATGGTTTACAACCTAAGGTATAACTTGTATCCGAACGGAGCAAGCGCATCCTAAGGGAACATGGTATGTACAAGGATAAAGAAAATAAGCTAATAAGCTCAAGAGAGCACACCTAGAGAGATCCTATCTAGGTTAGCATGCCAAAGAAAGTCTAACAAAACTATCCTATGGGGAACATGCAATGAGAGCGAAGTCGTGATCTCAATTTTCAAATTGAGTGATTCATCGATCAACAAGAAATAAAGGAAAGCGATAAAATCCTATAAGGAGCATGCACTGAGAGAGAAGTCATGATCTCAATTCCTAAATTGAGTGACTCATTGATCAAAAACCAAAGAAACAAACACAAGCACAACACGTATAGCAAATGAAGTGCGGAATGCCTGCTACAGGTCTTTAAATAGCGACTTTGAGCGCACACTCTTTATTTCCTACTTCTCATGGTATATAGAAAGCAATAAAATCCTACTTCTCATGATATCTAGAAAAGAGGTAAATAAATGTAGTAAAGTGCGAAGAAGTATGAAGGTAGTAGCAGAGACTACCAAAGCAAGTGAATCATCGAAAGCGGATGAAAGCAATGGAGAAGTAGGGAGTACGCGTCGAGCAAGCTTCACCAAGAAACAAACAAAGTCAAAAATAATATCCAACTAAGATAAAGGCAAGCGCGTGTTGCAAACGCAACGCGTAATCGGGAGTTCCTATGAAAAGTATCACGAAGTATCGCATGTATCAGGACAACATATAACACGATATGAATTTCTCAAGACGATAAGAAATGAGGTGCGTCGCATCAGAAGCGAGCATAATCCGTATGCTTCGATCACATAACTAGTTATGTTACATGATCGAAAGCACAAAAAATGTACCTTGCACAATGAACAAACACGTCAAAATATAACATGCAAAGCGGCACGAAAACTCGGATAAAAACTAAAAGAGAAAAAGTATTTTTTTTGTTAGTTTTTTATGTAAAGAGAATTCTAAAATTTTTAAAGAATTAATTCCTAAAAAACCACTATATTATTTTACTATTTTTATTTGGTTTATTACAATAACAAAAATATAAAACTAAGAAAAATGGCTCCAATTTTAATATGAAAATATGAACTCAGAGGGGTGTTAAGCTTGAAGTCAGGAGGTGATACAACAATTCACTATATAGCATTAAGCCCAACCAAAGAAGTAAAGTCCCTAAGCTGCTTTTTGTTCAACTCAGAAACATCATGCATAAAAAAATCAGAATTAAAAAACGGGCTCAAGGTATTCAATTTTTGTCCAGTAAAAGTGTTCTCTTTTTTTTAACACACAAGGTGCAAACATGGGCTTAAGCATGGTTTTCGACCCATATCCATCATCTCTAACCTTCATTTCAATAAATTATTGTTATTCAATTTCTAATTAATACCTCCACTTGATTATAATTACAAAAACATAAAAAGGAGAGGGACTAAATGGAAACGGTGTCGTTTCAACATGTTGAGAGTTCTAACCTAATACCCTTTCTCCTTGCCTTGCTCCGAACTTCTTCCACTCATATCGCTGCTCAAGCTATTGTTCAAACTCGATTCAGAACTATCAACCACCATGTCGGCGGTGCCTGTAGTGGCTTGAATTCATAAATGGACGATAAACTATATCCCATACGAACACCTAAGTCCCACTCCAACTTTCTTTTCCATGGATTTTACCTACATCACCCTTAAACTCTAGGTCCTTTCTGATTCCAAATTAAACATTCCCGATAGATCTTCAGCACATGTATGGTCAAGGTTATGACTCTGCTTAATCTACTATGTACAACCATATCAAGAATGCAGCTAAATATTGAAGGAACTACTACCTTCTAGGATGAAGACTTCGTAGATTTCAGAGTCACCTGTAAGATTTCAAGGCCTCTGGCTCTTCTATTTCGGTCTTCTCTTCTCTTTCTCGAACTTTTGATGCCGCTACTTTGTTCTCACCATTTTTAATTTGGCGTTATGATGCATTGTTGTGGATTCCATGTATTGATGATGATACAATGGTGATGATGATAAAAGGGTGTGAAGTTTCCGCTTGATGCGGATTGAAGATCGAAGCAGCTTGTAGAGATTGATGAAGATGCTAACCGAAGTTACAACATAATGTTTTAAGGGTGGAGATGCTAAACGACAGAGGATTACGGAAGATGAAGGTGGAGCATGATGAAGACGGCGAAGCATCGCATATAGAGAAAAAGCAGGGAGAAATCTCTATGATTTTCTGTCGATGGAAGATTGAGGATTGAGGGAAGAAGCATATGAAGTTTTCTGGAATTCTCTGTGTGGTGAAGAAGAATCTGATGAAGGTAAGCTTTCATTTATATATTATGTTAAAATGTGGAAAAGTTTGTTAGAAGGAGATTGAATCTCAGTTGTTGATTTCAGAATTTGGTTAGAAGATTAGATGGTGGAGATCGATTCTAATTGAGAGCTGGAAGGTTCTGCTTTTCTGCTGTCTTTTCACGGTTTAAACTCTTTTGCACATTTCTATTTTTCTTTTTTGTTTCATTATGTTAGGAAGTTGTTAGAAATTGCTGAGCTGGAATTCTGAAAATTAGTTAAGATATATTAGAGAAGTTGAAACTAAGTTTGTTAAAAAAACTAAAAGTTAGTTAGGCTCCCTAATTTCGGTTAGGACAGTTAGTTAACATGTTAGAAAGTTGGTTAAGAAACTGTTAGATAAAAAAGAGTAAAAGGTTAGTTCGTTTCTCTGCTCTTCAATTTGAACATATTCCTATGTTATGATTATACAAACTAATGATGGCTCATGTAACAGGCCCTTCGGCCGCAATACAAACAGAGCCCTGTTTAGGACAAAAGGTCTTCTCCACTTTTGATTTTTCTGGTTTTTCTACAGGGTTGAATTGAGTTTGTGGATATTTTTTTTGTTTCGTATATGAACTGGCTTGAATTGTTATTGAATCATGTATATGTTTTTTGATAGAAATTTAAATTGGATGCAGTTTTATGGTGCAAGGCTAGAGTTAACAATCTGAATTGGTTGTTGTCAATTGAGGCCCTTTGGTTTATCTGGTTTAACGGTAGTATGAACTACCTTGAAGTATTTTTCCTATTTTGATGGTGAAGTTGACCTGGTTTTGTGTATAGGTGCAGGATTGACATGGTTTTGAAGGAGTATTTGCAGTGCTATAACACGTTTTAGGACACTTGGTATCCAGCCTTTTTGGATCTGCCTTGGTCTAATTCTGAAGGCATAACATCACTGTTTTGGCCTGATTTTGAGGCTAGTTTCCGAGTGCAACAGATCATGACAATGGACTATTTCGGAAAGGCGTGAAGGTTGGTAATTCAAGGCTTGGGAACTTAGCACTTCAAGAATTTTAGGAGCATGCTTTATTATTCTTCTTTTTCACAACTTCTAAGCAAGCTATCACTGACTCTGATGCATTTAATTTGAAAGCCTCCACCTCTGCTCTTATTTCTGCATTTTCAGTCTCTAATCTGTGTAAAGATACTTAGCACCTTTTAAAATTTATATTTCTCCTTGTAACCTCTTGAAATGTACTCATGTCCTTCCATGAGTTTGAACAATAATAACATGATGTTGACCTTTTATGTAACTCCCTTGATTATTGTAATGACTCTGACTTTGTAATTGTAATCTCTTTATAATTTCCTCTTGACTTTATATTCTTCTTATAATATTCGGAACAAATTTGAATGAACCTCGAATGTTCATGAATGATCATTTCCCTTGTAATGCCTTGGAATCTTGAAGGAAATTATTTTAAAAGACCTTTGATGGACATTGAACAAATTTATTTGATTTTATAAGCTTGCTTTGAGAATAAACCTTGTTTGACTTCACTTGTTCTTTTGAATTCAATCTTGAATCTAGCTTAATATCATGACCATACTTTTTAAATGTTTTTAAAACTTCACTTGTTCTTCAAGAAATCCAAATGCACTTCTTACTTTACAAACTTCAAATAAATTTAATCCATGAAATTAGGTAGCACCTCAAATGATTCTAAATAACGAATCCATAGGAACCGAACCAAATCAATCTTGTCTCCTTATTAAAACTCTTAACTTCCCTCCTAAATCCAACTCTTGTAATTGAAGCACAATTAATAATAATGCCTTGATCATATTATGCATCCACAATATCACCTTTGTACCGATGATTTAAATCTTGCAATTCACTTTGCAAAGGCACCTCATTTCGATGACTAATGATCTTGAAGCAAACATCTTGAGGAAAAACTAGTAGATAGGAGAAATTAGTAGCATATGAATGATGGTGATCACAAAAACCTAAGCTCTTTGAGATGAATTTGAGATGCTGAGAAGGCCCATGCCCTAGCTTGCAAAGTATTTACTTAAACCTTTAGTGAAACCCTAATGATCATGCCCTTGATGAAGATTACAACTTTGTAGGTTAATGAAATAAAGAAGTTCTCAATGACCAAGAATCCAAACCCTAGTTCCACAAACCACAGTTAATGAGAAACAAATTAATTCAAGCCTAAATGAAGATAAGAATCATCAAAGCCATAGAGAATACCCTAACTTCAAGTTCCTCGTTCCCATACCAAGTTTATTGACTGATGATGCATGATGTGTTAGATGACCTAATGAAGGTTATGTACATAAGAAAAATGTGAGACGCGTAAGCCCGATAAAAGTAAAATGGTAGGACAAATTTTGGATATTTCACCTGCCCCTATTTAATCGTCTTAAACCTGAAAGTACGATTGGCACGTGCCTTTCGAAAGTTAGAGGTAGAAGATGATTAAATACCAATGCCTAAAATTTGTTATGGGAAAAAGTGTGAGTGTTTATTTATTTTGTGATATTTGCTGGGGAGAGAGTTTTTCCTTTTTCTAGTGAAGAGACGGAGATTGGACTTGTAACGTAGCAACAGAGGCTAATACAAGACAGAGGTTGGACTTACAACATGGCGTGATGCCAATACAAGACATATATTGGTACAAAAAGAAAGCGAATAAGGTCTACGGGCGACCTACAATCCTAAGATGAAACATGAGACTGATTTGTCGGAGAACCTAGCATAAGGGCGACCTCAGGTTCTAAGACAAGATTTGTGGGAAGAACCTAGCCAACGGGCGATCTCAGGTTTTAAGGTGATATATAGGAAAAACCTAGTCTACGGGTGATCTCAGGTTCTAAGATGATTTAAAGAAGAACCTAGCTGTTGTACCCCAAAATTTGCCCTCCCATATTTCTCAAAACATCTCAAGAAAAATTCACAAGTCCAACCCGGCGCGTCATATTCAGGTGTTCTTTCACCAAGATATCTCTGATAATGTATTCTCAAATTCAGGTTCGGCTCAAGAGTCAATTCTTTAAAGAAGGTATCCGAATGTGTGAGTTTTCTCGAAGAAATATGGTGAAAAAGTGTGCTGAAAGTGCAGTTTTTACGCGCTAAAAAATTCATAACTTGGAGATCGTGACTCGTTTTGAACCCATTCCGGTGGCCAAAATTCCGTCTTGACATTATCTACGTTTTCATCTCTCACGGCTGGAAGCCAATTTCGATCAGAAGGTCTTTAAAAATGTGGATTTATCAAGTATTTTCGTACAGAAAATTTGTGACAGAAGTTTATTTGCGTCATGTTCAGAAAATCATAACTTGGTCGATTTTCATCGTATCGAGCTGGTTCCGGCGCCAAAATTTCGCAAATTGAGTTGGCTACATTTTCACATAAGGTATTGAGTTCAAACGGTATTCAAAAGGCCTTCGTTTTTTGCTCAGAGTGCGTGACACGCTGAAAATCCTGAATGCTGAATATTATTTCATCTGGGCCGAAACTTCGAAAATTCATAACTCGGTCAATTTTTATCGGATTGGGCTCATATTTTTACACAAGGTCCTTGACTCATAGATCTACAACTTTTCTTCAAAAGTCGAGACCAAATTATGCACCGATCAATACCAGTTTTTTATTGAAGAACGTGTCAGAGTCGACACTGGAGCCCAAAATAAGTTTGTCTGAGCTGAAACTTCAAAAATTCATAACTAATTCACCGTTTATCCGATTGAGCCGATTTTCGGACAGGAGTTAGTTATCAATGTCAGCTACATTTTGTTTTCACATTTCAACTTCAAAAATTGCACTTAAGTCCCTGCGATTTATCCTGGAAAGTGACGAACTCAAGTAAACATTGGAGGCCCAATTGCACATTCAAAGCCCATTTTCTTTACCCTAATTTCCATTATATAATCACCTTCTTTTCACACAAACCAGGGAGGAGAAAAAAGGAGAGAAAAAAAACTTTGCCACAATTCTATCAGAATATCAAATTCTTTCAAGAACCCTAAAACCTTGAAATCCTTATTACAAATCTCTCTCTCACTACAAACAAGCCATCACAGTTACAAACCAACACCTCATTACTTCTTCAGTAAGGGTAAGGCTGACTTGATCTCCATGATCCAAAATGCATAAAAGCATTCATGTCACTAATTTTCCAGTAAGGGTAAGATTGATTTGATCTCCATGATCAAAAGGGTATAATCATTCATACATGCCATATTGTGCCTAAACATTAAATTTCTTCATATATTGGCTTTATTTGCATTTTATGATTTTATTTAATGTGTTCATGAGATTCAACACTGCAGATTTAGACAGGATCCCATGCAGGTTCATTAAGGAACGTTGAGGCCAAAAGCCAAATGGCCAAAAGCCAAAAGCCAAAAGCCAAAAGCCAAAAGCCAAAAGCCAAATGGCCAAAAGAACAACCTATACATGACGAGACAGACATCCTAAGAAGATTAAGGAATGTTGAGGCCAGAACACAAATGGCCATAAAACCCAATCCAATGGCCAAAGAATGCAGACCACGGTACTCGGGAGTCAATGAACACGCACGTGATGCCAGAAAGTCAAACAAAGCTTTTTGTCTAATTGGTCAGATTTCTCACAAAAAACCTCCCTTTGGGTCTGAATACCCCCATGGTTTATACATTTTTAATTTTTATTTGATTTTCTTTTCTAATTCTTTTTTAATGTTTTAATTATTTCTCTTTACCATAAAATAATTTTCACAATAATAAATACAGAAAAAATCAAAAATGTTTATTGTTATTAATATTAATTTCACTATTATTATTTTTGTAAATAAATGTTAAATAATTAATTTAGTTAAATTAGGTTTTAAAATTTTAATCTTTTTCTCAATAAATTAAAATATGTAGAAATTAGGTTTTTTAACTTTTTATCACTTTTCTTAATAAATAATTTTTTCTTATTATCATTATTATTAATTACTAATTTATTTTGTAAATAAACATGTAAATAAATTAATTAACTAGTAAATTAGATTAATTTTAATATTTTCATTAATAATTAAAATAATCTAGATTTAGGGTTTCCTTTTAATTTTCTTTATTTCATAAATACAAAAACCATCAAAAAAACATTTCTTTTCTTTAATTTAATAATTAATTAACTTTTCATTCAATTTAATTCCAAAAGGGTCCAACGCCCTCGAACGTTCTATTTTCTATTCTTTTCGCGCATTTATTCTTATTTTTCTTGTAAATATTATGTAACTGTTCAAGCCATGTAATAGTAACTAGGTTTTACTTTCCGCATTTTATTAAAAATGGGTCTTTGTAATTTGGCGATGTATAGACCCGCGCCTTGTAATAGCATAGGACTTTATTTTCTGCATTTAAATTTCCGCACTTTTAAACTGCTAAACTTTGCATGAAAGAATGAATGGCCTAAATTAAAAACAAGCGTAGAGCACCATGATACATGTACAAGATAAATATTAACCTGAAAACAACACACAAATTCACACACCACTCTTAGGGTACGCCTCACTGTTGCCTTGCCTTCGAAACGTGGTCGTCGAGTATAGGACGTTTTAGTAAGTCCTTATGTCCATGATCAATGGCATAGGGGTAGCTTCTAAGGTGTCCTACTGTTGCTCTGGTGACCACACTGTCCCTAACAATCGAATTGACCCGAACACCTCCAACGGTGGTGCTACCTACCTCTCAATGGTGGGATGGCGCTACCTTAAGGACATTTACACAGCCTAATTCCTTAGGGTAGGTAGATGACTCGTAGATACTTGCTC